TTCCAACAAATAGGTCCTCCACCAAGAGTAAAAACATACCCTGTCGTAGATCTTCTATTATCCAAGTCACCTGCATAGATCTTCTCGTTGACTACCAAAAACAATTCCATGTCCCACAGTACCCTTTAAGTATCGAAAGATCCACTTGACTGCTTCCCAATGTTGCTTACCAGGTTTAGACATGTACTTACAAACTTGACTAATAGCATGAGCTAAATCAGGACGAGTACATACCATTGCATACATCAAGCAGCCAACATCATTAGAATACGGAACCTTTGCCATATCTTCAGCTTCTTTATCTGTCTTAGGGCACTGTTCTGATGAGAGCTTAAAGTGGTTCGCCAATGGAGTGCTAACTGGTTTTGCGCTGCTCATCGCAAACCTTTCTAGCATTTTTTCAACATAACCCCGTTGAGATAGCCACAGTCTCCTTGAGTCTCTGTCCCTGCAAATTTCCATTCCAAGAATTTTCTTTGCAGCACCTAAATCTTTCATATCAAATTCCTGACTCAATAAAGTTTTCAAACCGATAACATCATCCATGCTCTTCGCAGCAATCAACATATCATCAACATACAGTAATAGAAAAATAAAAGAACCATCATCAAGGCTCTTAACATAGACACAACAATCATAGTCACATCGGTTGTAGCCAATCTTGATCATATAGGAGTCAAACCGTTTATACCACTGTCTCGGAGACTGTTTCAACCCGTACAAAGATTTCTTCAATCTGCAAACTAAATGCTCGTTTCCAGGTTGAGTGAAACCTTCAGGTTGCCGTATGTAGATCTGCTCCTCTAAATCACCATGTAAAAAAGCAGTTTTAACATCCATCTGCTCTAAATGCAAATCCCAACTGGCCACCAATGCAAGTACTGCTCAGATTGAAGTGTGCCTGACCACAGGAGAAATTTTTTTATCATAATCAACTCCTTTCTGCTGTGAAAAACCCTTTGCTACCAAACGAGCCTTGAACTTGAACTTCTCCCCCTCTTTTTCTGTTACTGCTGGTTTCTTCTTATACACCCATTTGCAACCAATCGGCTCTTTACCCTCAGGAAGGCGAACCAACTCCCATGTACGATTGTGATTCAAAGACTCCATCTCCTCAACCATGGCTGCCATCCACTTGTCGTTTTCCTGACTAGTAACAGCATCATGAAAATTAACCGGATCATCACTGCTAACAATAAAGTGCAAAAGAGACCAAGTCTTCAAAACCCAATCTACTCGGAGGCTTTATATTCGTCTGTCTCACCCTATCTCTGGCGAGACTATAATCCTGCAAATCATCCGTAGTGGAACCACCAGAAGTCGGTTGAGAAGTTTCTGGTTTCTCAACTGGAAACTGCTCGAAATCCACCACTGTCGTGTCTTTCTTCTATTGCAACATGGATTGTTCATCAAAAATAACATCTCTATTGATCACAATTTTCTTCGCAACTGGATCCCAGAACTTGAATCATTTGACACCTTTCTTGTTACCCAGAAAAATGCACTCATTCGATTTTGCATCAAGTTTGGATCTCTCATCAGCAGGTACATGCGCATAAGCAGGACAACCAAAAATCCGTAAGTTATCAAAACTAACATCATGACCAGTCCATACCTCTTCTGCAACTTTCCCAGCTAATGATGCCCTTGGCGATCTGTTGATAAGATAACAGGCCATGTTAACAGCCTCGGCCCATAAGTGTTTGGGAAGCCCCGCATTCAACCGCAAACATATGGCTCTTTCATTCAATCGCAAACATATGGCTCTTTCATTCAATGACATGTTCATCCGTTCTGCAACACCATTCTGTTGTGGTGTCTTGCGCACTGTAAAATGTCTCTTAATCCCGTGCTCCTTACAGAAGTGTAAGAACTGTGAATCTGTGTACTCCGTACCATTGTCAGACCGCAAACACTTGATTTTTCGTCCTGTTTGGTTTTCTACCTCAGCTTTCCACAGCTTGAACTTCTCAAAAACTTCAGATTTCTGTTTCAAAAAATACACCCAAACTTTTCGTGAAAAATCATCAATAAAAGTAACATAATACCTAGATCCACCCAAAGACAATGTCGTGGAAGGCCCCCATACATCAGAATGCACATAATCAAAAATCCCTTGAGTTGTGTGCCTCGCAGTCTTGAAACGGACTTTAGTCTGTTTACCAAGAACATAATACTTGCAAAAATCGAGCTTATAACTTTTGACACCATGCAACAGATTTCTTTTGTGTAATTCTGTCATACCACGTTCACTAAGATGAGCAAGACGCATATACCACAGTTTTGTAGTATCATCACAGGACTCAACAGAATGAACTCCACCTGCAACGGTACTCCCTAACAATCTATAAATATTTCCTGCAGTCATCTTTCCTTTCATCACAGTCAAAGCACCTTTAACAATCCGAATGGTTTCTCTATCCTCATCAGCCTTGGGGATAAAACCATTCTTGTGCAAAGTGCCCAAAGAAATCAAATTCTTCTTCAAATCTGGGATATGTCGAACACCACTCAACGTCCGAACAGAGCCATCATACATCTTAATTCTGACATCACCAATACCAACAATATTGCAACATCGATCATCACCCAAATAAACAGAACCAGAATTAACTGACCTGTATGTCGAAAACCATTCCCTATTTGGCGTGATGTGATAAGAACATCCAGAATCAAGAATCCACGCATCCGTCAATTAAGTCGTTGAAATAGAAAGCATATCACCTCACTGCAATAAGAATTGTCATCCTCGACCACGTTCACAGACTTGGATGAAACATCACGCTTCTCATCAGTCTGCTTTTCAACTTCGGACAATCTCGCTTCATATGTCCCGCCTCCTTGCACTTGTAATAGTGAATTGTCTTCTTATCCCTAGATTTGGATCTGGAATTCCGCTTGCCAGACCCTGCCTTCTCTGACTTCCGTCCACGGTCTCGATTACCCTTGACATATAAGCTATTGGCTTGAGAGTTTTCCCTTGCATTCTGCTTCCGCTGGTTGTGATCCAACAAGGCTGCAGTAATCTTCTCAACGTTGATAGTCTTTTTTCCATATGTAAGAGTAGTCACCATGTGTTCGTAAGAGGGAGGCAACGAACACAACAAAATCATCGCTCTGTCTTCATCCTCAATTTTTACATCAAGCCGAGCCAAATCAGAAACGATTTGATTGAAGACATTCATGTGTTGCGCCAAATCATGATCGTCCTGCATCTTCAGCCCATACAACCGCTGCTTTAGATACAGTTTTGTCGTTAAGGATTTGGACATAAACTGACTTTCCAACTTCCTCCAAATTTCGTCTGGAGACGATAGATGCATGACGTGATACATAACCTCGTCCGCCAAGCATAATCGTATGGTTCCTGCCGCTCGTTGTTGCAATTCTTCCCAATCTTCCTCCTCCATCGACGCCGGCTTTGTAGGTCGCAAAGCCTTCAGGATCCCCTGCTGCGCCAACAGATCCTTCACCCTCGTTTGCCATAATCCGAAGTTACCCAGACCATCGAATTTCGCGACTTCGAATTTTGCTCCTGACATCTGATACCAATTGTTGATAAATCGGGTAAAGTAAACGAAAGAACACAAGAATTTTAACGAGGTTCGGCAATGTGCTTATGTCCTCGGTGATTAGGCGGTGCTAGAAAATTTTATTCAATTCTCATAGGTTTATGTTACATCTCTATTTATAATAGAAAACCCTGGTACATAATTATAAAATTAACCATGTACCGTACCGCAGAGGCGCACCCCCCGCACCTCCAACCCACATAATCGTAACCCCCTCTACGAGACTTTCTTTGTAAGGACAGTTGATGTTCGCTGCGTTCGCTTCGCTCACTCTGCTCCATCCCCTGTCCTTTTTACCGGTATATTTATGAGTCATACCTTACAGACTACATGTGTTTTAAGTTTTTTGTCACTCCCAATATTTACAATTTTTAAATTTTCCAAGGAATAACATATGTACTCTACAAAATAAAAATAAAATGAAACTCACATTAAAATTGACATGTATGAACATAACAATAACATTTTTAATCCTTTTGATTAATGCATATACATTTTTTTTAATTTTTTAGTAATTTAATTTTTATTTTTAATATTTATTTTTTGTATATTTGTGTATCTTAAATTTAAAATATAAAAATTTTAAAAATTTAAATAATATCCTAAACTTTAAAAAACAATAAAAACCGTTGGTCGTAGATCGTCACATCTGTTATATCATCAACCTCGTCATCGATCACCGTAGATTGTCACATCATCACTATAAACCATCATATTAATATTGTAAAATGTCACATCAACATTGTAACTGTCAACAACGAAACCATTGATCAAAAGTCACATTTAATCTTTTTTTTAAGTTTAAGGGTCACGTTGATATTTAAAAAAAAAAAGTATAAAGGCCTCGTATATCCTTTCACCTATAATAAACTAATATGTAAACACACTTAACTTGCTTCTAAGTTTCTAATTTCATATTTTTACGGTCTTACATTAAACATTTTATATAAACTAATATATAAAGCACACTCATCTTGCTTCTAATCATATAAAGCGTATTATATACTAATTTAATATATAAAGATTTGTATGTCCCTTATTTGCAAAAATTTAAAGTTTCAAAAATAGGAAATTAAAAACAATGAGCAAAAGAATGGTGGTAAATGAAATCCAAGAAATAATGCTTGTGATTCATTTGTAAAAAAAAACACAAATGTGATTTTATTATAAATAGATCCGAAGAATAGATCAACAGTGAAGTAAAAGAAAAATTACAAAACGATAATGAAAAAGAAAGAAACGCATATCCTAAAAACAAATAGGAGGAAAACCAAGAAAACTCAAACTTTCCTCAAAGAATTGCAAAGCAAACGTGGCACCAGCCCATCGAGTATCTCACATGCGAGACTGCTGCTTTATTTTAGCTTTTATTTAATTTATTTATTTTCTTTTTCTTTTAAAGTGTTACTGTGAGACTTTAAAAAAAGAAAATAAATAAATAAAATAAAAATAAAGCAGCATCAGATCCAAATCGCTCCCTCTCTAGAAGATCAATGCAATGGCCGCCCATCCCAACGCCAATCCTCCTATTATCTTCTGCACGCTCTTCATTGTCTCTGCTCCACTCTGCAATTTTTTTATCCATTTACATAATTATAATCATAAACAGTAATTATAATTAGTAATGCATGGTGTTCATGTATCATATGATGTAATTGACTCATTTTTTGCTGTTCTGTATCTGATTTTAGATATCATAATTTTTTGCTCCAGATCCATCGATACTTTTACTGAAAACTAATTGCTCAAGTTCCACTTTCATCAGTGGCGCGATTTAAACGCGCTAAAACGAGATCTACTTTCCATTTTGAGCCGTAGTTCAAATTCTAAATTCTAAGTTCATTAGCAGAAATTTGAGCTACAGTTATTAAATTATGCTCGTGTAGCTAGCCTAAAATTTCAGATCTGGTGAAGTGCATTGTTGTACAATATAACTTGTAGGCCAAACAGATTGAAATGTAAGAAAAGAGAGTGTACCTCATCCGCAGCGACAGAAGGGCCGGGAGAGGAAGCGTCGATGCTAGGTCCGGGAGCTCCAGTAGGTGGAGCTGGAGGTCCAAGTAGATCAGGTGAAGGGGCAGGAGCATTGTGTTTCTTAGACTTCTTGCTCTTGCTCGGAGCAGGTACAGGAACCTCAGCGGTGGTTGGTGCCGCAACAGGAGCAGGAGGAGAGGCGGAGCTCTCTGGAGGAGTTGTCGGTGTAGCAGCGGGGGGAGATTTGGCTGGAGGTGAGCTCACAGGGACTGGAGCCGGTGGAGAACTTTCGGGTGTAGCAGCCGGTGGTGAAGAAACCGGAGCAGATTTAGATGGAGCCGGAGCTGCTGCTGACTTCTTCGGAGCTGCAGACGGTGGTGAAGAAGTTGGTGGAGAAGTCGAAGGAGCAGCGGTTGGAGCGGGAGTTTTAGGTTTACTAACTGGAGCAGTGGCGGGAGCAGTAGCAGGCGTAGTCGCTGCCGGTGGAGCTTTAGTGGGCGCTGCGCCCGGAGCTTGGGCGCTGACACCACCTACCACAATGCAAATCAATGCAACGGCAAACGCGCTTCTGCGATCCATCTTTCTCTTAATTTTTTTTTCTTTTGAGAGTTGAGACTGAAGTGAATGATGAAGAAAAATAGTGGCAGAGAGATTATAAATAAACGAAAAAGAGTCGCGACGATCGTATTCATGATTAAACGGACTTGTTTAGAAGATCTGGCACCAACAAAGAAAAGGGCCCCACGATCACATGGGTCAGACATAGCCGTTGGATGAAGGATACTGGGGACCACAAGCATCAAACTACGAAACAAGGCCACATGTGTTCTATGTCTATGGAGTTCTCCCCTCCTCTAATTCATGGTTTTTAGAATCGGACTGGTTAGCAAACCAGTCATATTATCGGTTTATGGGTTTAACTAGTCGAATCGATTCGATCGATTAAAAGAATCGGATGACGTCATAATTATTTAAAAAATTAAATAAAAATACCAAAAATATTTAATAAAAATAATTTTTTATATCACAAGTCATATTCAAAGCAAGTCATAACATATATATAAGTTAAAAACCATAAAATCAAGTGAAACAAAATGATTCAAATTAACTACAACATAATATTTAAGGTAAAACATATTAAATAATAAATATAATTATATAACTATAATTAAAAAATAAATTTGGGGTTAAAAAAATCATAACAAAATTATATAACTATAATTATATAACTATTCTTTCACTTCAATCAAGCTCGAATTTTAGGCTTCAATCGAGCTTCTAATTTTTTTTTTGAGTTCAAGCCTTTTTGATTTCAAGTTTCAATATTATATTTCGAGTTTGAGTTGAACTTGATAATTTTTAGCTTGTGAGTTTGAGTTGAGCTTACTTTTAAAGTTTTCAAGTTCGAGTCGAACTCAACAATACTCGAGTTCGACTTGGCTCGTTTAACAAACGACTTTGTTTGGTTTAATTTTTTTTTTTAAAAAAAATCCCGGTTTTTCCCGGTTTTCAGCCGATCCGGTTTGAACGGTTCAGCGATTCTGGCCGGTTCACTAATAGCAGTTCAATCGGTTTAGATTGAACAGACTAAGCAACGATTTCCGGTTGAACCGACCGATCCAATCCGATTTTCAAAACAGAGCTCTAATGTAATAATTATGGTAAAATTATTTTCAAAAAAAGAATAATTATGGTAAAATAAGTGAAAAATATGCGTTGAAAAAAAGTAAGGGTGTAAAGATGTTGACTTGTTCTTTAGAGAATTAAGGATGTCTACAAAATATAGGATGAAGTTATCGGTTGTATCTTTTATTTTTTACTTAATACAAAAATAAGTATCCAAATTTCTCAAAATTAATGATTTGCAATTTTTTCGATAAAAATTAATATTTAATGTTTTCTTCATTATTGTAATCCCTTAACCCGTATCCGACCCGAATATGAGTCCAATGTGTTACATTGACTTTTTAAACTTTGACACTTAAAGAAAAACAGAAAAATTTTAAACTTTCATTAAAACAAAATACGTTAATTTACATAAAAGAGACCACAAAATAAAAAATCGATCAGAGCATTCGTAATTAACAACTTATTACATGCCAACACTTTATACACAACCAAAATACTTACTTTGTCAATTACTTCTGATCTAATCTATTAGTAGTAATGATGTCCTTGTCACTTCTATTCCTGCTCTTCTTGTTTCTTGGTACCTACGTGTAAATCACTTACATGCTAAGTCATAGACTTAGCGAGACAATAAATAAACATGTAACAATAGATTCATGGATATGCATTCTTACCATTTAATCATGATATTTCAATATGCATGTATCTATTACACTAAATATATACAATAATATCATGCACATATAAAACTCACTTTCTTGTGCCACTTTCACTTTAATTTATTTTTCATTTGCCCATGTACATTATTAAGAATAGAGATATTGAGTACATAGAGATTTTGCACTATGTTGTCATCACAGCTCGTATAATTCCCTCAAGGGGCACTGTATATTTGTCTCGAAGGACCACTAGATATGTTTTGAAAGACCACTACGTCCCGAATGACTACTGGATATGTCTCGAATGACCACTGAATATGTCCCGAATGATCACTATAACCTTCGACTCTTGACATGTCAACTATAACTACAACTCTTAGATCATATTTGACACACTTTTTTAATCATACAAATATACATTTATATAAATTATTATTATTATTTTATTAATACTTTTTAATATTTTTTTGCACCCTACCAGTAAAAAAAACCACCTACTCTACTACCAACTAAACCACTAAATGCCTATACCTAACCCACTCACTCAACTCACCCCCAAATTTCGCTCCTCACATCTGCTTCCTCCTCCTCTCGTGGCACTTATTAAATGTATGGTATTTCCACTGGTTCAAGGGGGAACCACGATATTGCCACGGCTAAACCTTCCTTGCAAAGCCCTCTGGTTCCAGTGAGGGTTCAAGTTTTATCAAATCAATGGAAATCCTCCCCATTTCTTAAGAGAAGCAATTTTCATTTGGGGTACCAGGAGAGCCACTGTGGAAAACTCCAGGTTAGAGCTGTTGCAACCTTCGAGCCAAAGTGCTTGATTCCAAAACAAGATGGACTCAACAATAAGTTACAACTCTTTGGAGATTCAATCCCTTCATCGACTCAGCCCGAACCTTTGGAGATCGGAGACTCGGATGATGAATTGGACGAGAGGGAAAAGTTAAGGCGGGTGAGGATTTCTAAAGCAAATAAAGGGACCACGGGAAAAAAAAGGCAGATCAGGGGGGAATTAAGATGGTTTCTTCGGTCTCGGTTCCCTGCCTAGGATCTCTTCGCTATTGAAAACAAACCACCAAAGCCAAAATCAAAGGGTTTCTTTGCCTCTTCCTCAAACTTCAAACGTTACTTCCAAATCTTGCTTGGCATTTGGATCTTCAATACGAGTACCTGCATTTTCAGCTTCTCAGTGGATTAATCGTAAGCAAACTACAGTCTTCACGAGTCATGCGCAACTTAACGAGGTTGCAGAGTTAACGTCGAATTCTGTAGCAGCAATCAACACGAAACCTAAAGTTTCATCGCCTAAGGAGGATGGTAAGAAACTAGCAGAGACTGCTATTTCGGATGTTGTAGCAATCTCGGCATTAATGGAACAAGTATTGGGCCTTGTTAAACTTGTTGATTCACGAGATATTATAGAGTTACAACTGAAGCAATCGGATTGTTATCTTGATGACGAGGAAGCAAACGACACCGAGGATTTTCTTCAAGCACGTGCTCAAATGGAGAAGGAACGTGGGAATCTGTTGAAGGCTCTTGGCACATAGGTCATCGAGCCACTAAGAGCAATGGTAATGGGAGCTCCTTCGGAAGATACGCGACATCTTGCTCAACGTTATGACAGAATGCGACGAGAAGCGGAAGCACAGGCAATCGAAGTTTCGAAACGCCAAGCAAGAGTGAGGGAAACGCTTGGAAATCCCGAGAACGTCATGAAATTGAAATCTGCAGAAACAAAACTGCAAGATCTAAAGTCAAACATGGCAATATTGGGGAAAGAAGCTACTGTGGCAATGACCACTGTTGAAGCTCAACAACAGAGGTTAACACTTCAGAGACTTATTGCTATGGTTGAAGCCTCTGTAAGCGAAGGCAAATATCAATTGATGAAGGCACTATAGTGGATGGAATTTCAGGTATTAATCCGAAACCAGTTTTGCAAAACCAAGGAGCCAACCATGACGCCGAGCAGGTTCTTTTTACACTTTTGATTTCTTATAATTTTAATCCTATTATAAATCAAAGTTCAAAATTCCATAGTGCTTTAACTATTAAATTACATGGCTTTGTCTTGTTGAATAATGTGTTAATTATTAAATTCTATTGCTTTGTCTTATTCCATAGTGCCTTAATTATTAAAGTTTATGGCTTTGTCTTGTTGCATAGTGCGTTACTTATTAAATTTCATGGCTTTGTCTTCTCCCTTCAAAGTTCAAATAATCGGGTCTTCTCAATTTCTCTTTGGCGCAACGCGATCATTGGAGTAAGTACCCGCCGAACATTGGCCATTGCTGAGACTAAGCGGGATTAAATTCCCTTTTTTTCATTCAATTGCAATTTAATTAGGGAGTGAATTGTGCATTCGATTGTCACTCTAAATTTTGATCTTCTCACGAATCACACAAAAGTTTAACATCCGCTCTTCTTTGTTGGAGAATTTTTAATCAATTAAAGGTAAGTGATTGGAATCAGATCTTTAAATTTTAATTTTAATTTTCGCAACTAAGACAATCGACAAATTAATTGGTACCAAAAGGGCGGTTCAAGGGTGCTAATTCTTCATTGACCGTAACAGACTCCTGAGCCCGACACATTTATGGTAAAACGCAGATCAGGTAAGATGGTGTCCGATCTACCTAAATATTTTTTAAAGTGATCGGTGGCAACTCTAACCCAATCAATTCCAGTCGAAGCTCAATTCCGGACCTAACCGAAAGACGACCGCGACAGCTTGACGACTCCGCTGGGGACATGTAAGTGAGCCAGGCCGAAATTAATTTTCGGTTGTTTTTTTATGTGAAAATGGTAAATTTAAATTTATTTATTCGATTCTAATTATTTATCTTTGATTATTTTTCAAATAAATAGTTGTACTGACGTTTTTTAATGTTTTCTGATTTTTCAAAATTGTCATCTCAGGCTCTATACCCGAGCTCTGAACCCTTTTAAGTGGAGGTGAAAGATACGCCTTTGTGGGAATTTATTCTCCGTATGAGTCTAGTAAGTAAACTTCGAGATTCATATACCTTAAGCCTTTGTGTGAATTTATTCTCCGTATGGGAATAAGAAAATGTTTCCTCTCGAGTTTAACTTAGTCCACATAAGCTTGTAATGGGCTTAGGAGTAAGGGTCTAGCAAGCCCAAGGGAGCACCAGCAAGGAGAACTCGAGTACCTTTTTAGAACCTAAATCGGGAGAGTACAGGGAATTAGAGCATACCCAAAACCTCATTCCAAACCCTAGGATGCTTTGTTTCCTACTTTACTTTCTCTTAAAAGAATGTGAACTAGACAAATATGCGGTTAGGATTTGTTTGAAATTAGTATGCGAGATAGAGATCATGTCCGGATAGGAATTAAAGCATGTGGGGTAGATATCATGTGGGGTATGATCTTTCATTTTTACTGTTGTTTTGATTTACCTCACTAACTCTTTTATTTTTTGTTCTCCTTTATTTTGTTTTCATCATTCGCATCATTTAAAAGAGGTATTGATCCACCAAAAAACGTGTTTGTTAAACATGAATAATCTACATTAATGGACAAATGGGTTGTAATACAAGAGATGAAAATACAAGAGGACAGTCTACAAGGTGACTATGTGTCACATTCAATCCAGAAGACGTGGTGCCCACAATTGAAGAGTGTATCACTCTGCTGCATTATAAAGGACTCAGAATGAACCGGGTCTATATCGAGCACAATGAAAGTCTATCTTTGAAGAACTGACTGGCAGAGGTTGTAGGGGCAAGATGAAGGTTACTGATCTTGGGAGTCTGTTAAACTATGTTTCGATATAACAATTTAAGGCAAAATGGTTTTTGGACTTGAATTGAATTTACAAAATGGTTTTTGGACTTGAATTGAATTTACAAAATGTTTTTAGACTTAATTGAATTTATTCAAAATTTACAAAAATAATTCAAAATTCTTTTAATTTACAAAATCACTGTTTGAACAGTAACCCGAGGCTCAAAAATTCCAGTTTGTAAAAGGGGAACCGATTCCCCCCAAGGGGGTACCGATTCCCTCACTGTTCATCAGCCCAACGGTCATAATATTTGAATATTATGAAGGGGTATCGATTCCCTATAAAGGGGTACCGATTCCCCCAATTCTGGGCAACCTTTTTGAGTAGAAAAATCATTCCCAAATGGCTCCAAAACATCCCCAACGGCTAGATATGACTTCAAACACATTCCAAGCTATAAATACAAGCTAAAGACACTTGAAGAAGTAAGAGAACAACTATCCAAGCAATCAAACACAAGAGAATAGTTTTTCAATCTTATTTCATCTTTCTCTTGTAAATATTTTGTTCTTGTGAGCTCAATCTTGTAAACACCTACCTTAGAGAGGTTTCCTTGTTTACATTTATTATCCTTTTGTAAAGGGGAAAGGTTCTAGCTTAGCCCGTGTAAAAGCTAGGGAAAGGTTCTAGTTTAGCCCGAAAAAACTAGGGAGTTGTAAGGTTATCTCTTTGTCCTCAAAAGAAAGAACAAATTAGTGAATTTGTTGGAAAATCCTTGGTGAGGAGCTAAGGTAGTGAATGTAGACTTTGGTTGATAAAGTCGAACCACTCTAAATCGCTGTGCAATTTTCTATCTTTCAATCTCCTTACTCCCTAAACACAAAACCATTCCGACCCCTCCTTGCAAACCGTTTCGGTTGTCGATTCGAGCTTCCGAAAATTCCAACAGAGTCCTTTCAAAGACAACAATGGCAAAACGATAGCTGAAATTGGAGACCATTGCTGACGAATTCAAGAAGCAGACAAATAAACTTCACATAATTCCTATCAATTGAGGGCTCCAATGATGTATTCGTCGGGAACAGGTTCAACAAAAGATAAAATGCCAGAGATGTCATTCGAGACTTCTTGGACCAGTACAAAAAACAACTCAACATTTGCACGGTTCATCCAGAGAAGCTGGAGTGGTTCGATATGTTATTCAACCGGTGACAGACGAAGGCAGAATACTAGTCAACTTGTCAGAAGCTGTCATGATACTTTTTTCTCTTAAAAGATAAAACACTTTTGTCCCCAATAAGGATTATTTACAATAACAAACATGTTTTTGGGTCAATGCCTCAAGCATTTCATGCATTTTTGCATCTAAATTTCATTTTTAAGTATTTTCATAAAGATGAAATTTCTTCATGTAGGATTTGAGGTAGCGTTCTTAATCACGTGACACCACATGGAAGCAAGATTTGAACAATTAAAGAAAAAATTAAAATCAATACAGTTAGAGTTTGTTTAGATGATTGTAGGACTGAACCTTCCAGAATGATTTGAGAAAATAGTCCACATATCTCGAGGGTTACGATGTTAATATCGTACACAATTATCACATAGGAAGCTCCGGACATTCCTCTGAGAACTATAAGGCACTGAAGCGCAAAATCCAAAACCTGATGGATTCAGGGGCATGTATAATCGAAGAAGGGGGTATTGCATCTACTATTTGCACTGAGAGCATTGTTTTGTTTGAACACGTTTTTTATCTTTCATGATCGCTTAATCTTTTAAACAACTGAATTTATGTTACCTTCTAAGGTGGAATAATTGAACGAATTTTAATCTTTAGTTCTTCGAATATTAAATGAATTAAATATTCTTTTAATTCTTCAATAATTATAGATTTTTGACATATGGCAAGATCAAACCTTTCTTATCATGTTCCAAGAAAAAAACAAATTCCCTCGATTCTTTACCCAGAATAATCCATAGAGAGTCATACTCATACATTTCGTTGAGTCAATAAAGTCACACCATTGTCTTTTTAGACTCAAAATTGACATTTTTACACCATTAAAACCCACGACATTGTGTTGTTCATTTGAACATGAGCACTCTTCTAAGACACAACTTAGAGCATCTCACAGGGGGCCTGAACATTGAGACATATTAAAAAAAGCAGAAAGAAGAATTCATTCGAAATAATTCTATCATGCATTAATTACACTGTTTTCATGTGAATAAAATTAATCCTGAAAATCTATCCCCCTGGGGATACCTTTTCTTTGAGGACTTCTATGTATGAAATGATGAACGACTTTCTTTCTTTATCCCTTCACAATAGAAGAATATATATATCCCTTGTGTCCCCCTTGGAGCCTATAGTATTTTTCTTTTGATTCAACCCTAATCAAGGATCACCCTCTACACTGGGGGACAAGGTGGAAGAAATCAGCTCACATGAGTGAAGACATCAGTCCAAATGAGATACCAAATGCCAAGTGCGAAGATCCAATCAGAACAAAAAAGAAAAAAGAAAAGCAAAAAAAAAAAACAAAAACAAAGGAAAAAGTGAAGAAAAAATAAGACAAGACACATATGCAAAGATTCACTCGATTCAAATGACGCGTCGATATTCAAATTATAAGATTGATCAAGCACAATCATTCCAGAATCACTTCACTCGAAGTTCATGGAACATCCAGAGTAAATCAACACATACGACTAGATTCAAATTGAGCAAGACAGAATTGAAGGCATTATAATGAATTGATCATTGGTTTAATACCCTGAAACACTTGTTTGGGCCTATTTATCCTTTTCTTTCATAACCATGAACCATGGCCTACATTACGTGCCTTAAAAGTCCCTTCTAATCATACATGGATTTCTAAACAGAAGAGGTTATCTTCAGATTTCATCCCGCCTGTCAAGATTAATCTTTATTTGCAAAAAGTTTTTAAATCTTTAATGCATGATAGAGAAAAATAACAAAGGGGGTTCAAGACGTAAATTCTGAATGATGTCTTGAAACCAAAGTAGAATTCAAGTTGAAAACCTGAAAAGGCAGCTAGAATATAAAAAAATGTGCAGCTCAGGCGATCACACAAATTCCTTGATAAAGCATCGCACAATCCGAGTGTGACCACGAAGGTTGGGAGTCGGATAACACTTCCAGTAGAGGAGCATGCAAGCTACCCCATCAAACATTTGAGCATCAAATGCCAAACCGTTGACCAAACATGATAACCTGAGACTTTTTATCCTTTATTTACTTAACCATTTCCCAAATATATTTTTGATCTTGGCACTTGTCAAACAACTATAATTTATTGAAGGATCAACAATGTAATTAATTCTTTGATATCCAATGAACTCTAGTTTTATGATTCGTCTCAATTGTAAAACCGTGAAATGGGCAATATTTTCAAAACTTTTGGTTGATATTTTCAAAATTTTGAAAATAAAAGAGAAAGAAAAACATTTTTTCAAAGCAAGATAATCTCTCTATAGTGGATCTTGGTAAATGACATGTGGCTCCCAGACACTAATCTCATGCTTAGAATCAATGTTGAAATAAATGAGGAACAATGGGGGCATCTTTGAAAATTCAACATCAAATGATTGGGGCATCTTTGGCGATTTAACATTGAATATTGGGGCATCTTCGGGGACTTAGCACCTTGATGCAAATTACCAGATTTTCTTAAGGTTTTTCCTTCACATGCAAGACCAACAGACAAAAAAAGGCTTCATCCAAGGGGTAAAACATAATTAATTCATGTTGCATGCATCTTAGACATACTTAAGAGCATCACATTTTTAGCATACATAATTTTTTGTAGCTTTTTTAGTCAAGTTTCATCCTCAAGATGAAAGATACTCGATTCAAAAGTACATTCAAAAGTTGATGGTGGTTGCTCGACCTCACAGCGAAAGAGCGGCTGTTTGACGAAAAAATAACTTTCTGAGTCTCGTTCACAGTCAATTTCAACTTCACAACGAAGGATATTGAACTCGAAGCGATGCAATTTGTTTGAAATTGGATATCAACTCCACGACGGAGGATATCCAACTCAATGCAACATACAAGATTGGATTTCAACTTCACGGCGAATGATATCCAATTCAAAGCTCAACTTCACGACGAATGGACTTCCCAGTTTCATTAAGAGCCAATTTCAACTTCACAGCGAAGAATATTGGACTCGAAACAATACAAACTTGGATTTCAACTTCACGACGAAGGATATTCAAGTCAAGGCTCAATTTCACGACGAATGGGCCATCCACGATTTCAATTTCACGACGGAGGATATCGTACCCACACATCCACAATTTCAACTCCACAATGGAGGATATCGTGATCATTTGAGGCTCAATTTCACGACGAAGGGGCTTCCCAGTTTCAGAGCCAATTTCAACTTCACAGCAAAGGATATTGGACTCAAGACAACACAAACTCAATTTCACGACGAAGTGGTGGCTGACTATCAACAAACAATTTCCCAGTTCCATAACCAATTTCAACTTCACGTCGGAGGATATTGGACTCGGAACAATACAACTTACTTGGATTTCAACTTCACGACGAAGGATATCCAATTACCAGGCTCAACTTCATGACGAAGGGGCCACCCGCGGTTTCAACTTCACGACGAAGGGAATCGTACACACAAGCAGCATCCATCTCTAGATTGGATTTCAACTTCACGACGAAGGATGTCCAACTCAAACAAGGAGTGTCTGTCAATAAACTTTCCAGTTTCAGAGTCAATTTCAACTTCACGGCGGAGGATATTGGCCTCGAAATAACTCAACTTACATTGGAGTTCAACTTCACGACGAAGGATATCCAATTCCAAGGCTCAACTTCACGACGAAGGGGCCATATACAACTCCAACTCCACAACAAAGGGTATCGTACCCTAACAGAGTGAGTCAACTTCACGACAAAGAGGTCATCTATAACACAACAACAACCAAAGTCTTCGTGTCAAGTCTCACCTTCATGACGAAGTATCTTGGGCCAGAAGACGATCCAAAAACTACTTACTAATACTATGAGTCCGATTTCAACTTCACGATGAAGGATTTCGTGCTCAGAATTTTTCAGTTTCGACTCAACCTCACGACGAGGGAGTTATTTCATGGTTCAATCCAGATTGACAAACCAATTATGACGTCGGATTTCAACTCTACAACAGAGGATATTCGATAAAAATGGGAATTCATCCCTATAATGAATGGTGTTAAATTTAGATACATTCACAAAAAGTGTGTCTTCTATCTTTGTCCTACACCCATTACACCACTATGGGCAAAGAAGGGCATCACACATTTTTTTGACCATACAAATATACATTTATATAAATTATTATTATTATTTTATTAATACTTTTTAATATTTTTTGCACCCTACGAGTAAAAAAAACCACCTAATCCACTACCAACTAAACCACTAAACACCTATACCTAACCCACTCACTCAACTCACCCCTAAATTTCGTTCCTCACATCTACTTCCTCCTCCTCTTGTGGCACCTATTAAATGTATGGTATTTCCACTGGTTCAAGGGGGAACCACGATATTATCACGGCTAAACCTTCCTTGCAAAGCCCTCTAGTTCCAGTGAGGGTTCAAGTTTTGTCAAATCAATGGAAATCCTCCCCATTTCCAATGAGAAGGAATTTTTTATTTGGGGCACCAGGAGAGCCACTGTGGAAAACTCCATGTTAGAGCTGTTGCAACCCTCGAGCCAAAGTGCTTGATTCCAAAACAAGATGGACTCAACAATAAGTTACAGCTCTTTGGAGATTCAAGCCCTTCATCGACTCAGCCCGAACCTTTAGAGATCGGAGACTAGGATGATGAATTGGACGAGAGGGAAAAGTTAAGGCGGATGAGGATTTCTAAAGCAAATAAAGGGACCACGGGGAAAAAAAGACAGATCAGGGGGGAATTAAGATGGTTTCTTCGGTCTCGGTTCCCTGCCCAGGATCTCTTCGCTCTTAAAAACAAACCACCAAAGCCAAAATCAAAGGGTTTCTTTGCCTCTTCCTCAAACTTCAAACATTACTTCCAAATCTTGCTTGGCATTTGGATCTTCAATACGAGTACCTGCATTTTCAGCTTCTCAGTGGATTAATCGTAAGCAAACTACAGTCTTCACGAGTCATGCGCAACTTAACGACGTTGTAGAGTTATCGTCGAATTCTGTAGCAGCAATCAACACGAAACCTAAAGTTTCATCGCCTAAGGAGGATGGTAAGAAACTAACAGAGACTGCTATTCCGGATGCTGTAGCAATCTCGGCATTCATGGAACAAGTATTGGGCCTTGTTAAACTTGTTGATTCACGAGATGTTATAGAGTTACAACTGAAGCAATCGGATTGTTATCTTGATGACGAGGACGTAAACGACACCGAGGATTTTCTTCAAGCATGTGCTCAAATGGAGAAGGAACGTGGGAATCTGTTGAAGGCTCTTGGCACATAGGTTACCGAGCCACTAAGAGCAATGGTAATGGGAGCTCCTTCGGAAGATGCACGACATCTTGCTCAACGTTATGACAGAATGCGACGAGAAGCGGAAGCACATGCAATCGAAGTTTCGAAACGCCAAGCAAGAGTGAGGTAAACGCTTGGAAATCCCGAGAACGTCATGAAATTGGAATCTGCAGAAACAAAACTGCAAGATCTAAAGTCAAACAGGGCAATATTGGGGAAAGAAGTTACTGTAGCAATGACCGCTGTTGAAGCTCAACAACAGAGGTTAACACTTCAAAGACTTATTGCTATGGTTGAAGCCTCTGTAAGCGAAGGCAAATATCAATTGATGAAGGCACTATAGTGGATGGAATTTTAGGTATTAATCCGAAACCAGCTTCGCAAAACCAAGGAGCCAACCATGACGCCGAGCAGGTTCTTTTTACACTTGATTTTCTTATAATTTTAATCCTATTATAAATCAAAGTTCAAAATTCCATAGTGCTTTAACTATTAAATTACATGGCTTTGTCTTGTTGCATAGTGCGTCAATTATTAAATTCTATTGCTTTGTCTTATTCCATAATGCCTTAATTATTAAAGTTTATGGCTTTGTCTTGATACCTAGTGCGTTACTTATTAAATTTCATGGCTTTGTCTTCTCCCTTCAAAGTTCAAATAATTGGGTCTTCTCAATTTCTCTTTGGCTCAACGCGATCATTGGAGTAAGTACCTGCCGGACATTGGCCATTGACGAGACTAAGCGGGATTAAATTCCCTTTTTTTTTCATTCAATTGCAATTTAATTAGGAAGCTAATTGTGCATTCGATCGTCACTCTAAATTTTAATCTTCTCACGAATCACACACAAGTTGAAAAGCCGCTCTTCTTTGTTGTGGAATTTTTAATCAATTAAAGGTAAGTGATTGGAATCGGGTCTTTAAATTTTAATTTTAATTTTCGCAACTAAGACAACCGACAAATTAATTGGTATCGAAAGGGCGGTTCAAGGGTGCTAATCATTCCTTGACCGTAACCGACTCCCGAGCCCGACACATTTCTGGTAAAACATAGAGCAGGTAAGATGGTGTCCGATCCACCTAAATGTTTTTTAAAGTGATCGGTGGCAACTCTAACCCAATCAATTCCAGTTGAAACCCAATTTCGGGCCAGACCGAAAGACGACCGCGACACATATAACATGGACTTAAATATGAATACATTTCTCATTTCATATCTTTTTCATCACTTTTCATATAAACACATATAATTATTTCCATTATTCCACATACATGGATTGTATTCTCTGGCAATGACATTCGTTCAGTTAATATCATATTAACACATAATGAATTATGTTGCAATCACTATAACAATAATATATGTATGTATGTACATGAGTATAGAATCATGAATTCAACTATCAGAGATAGACTTATCACAAGTCTTATCTCTATACACTTTAACTATAAAATGCACTCACCTTAGCCTTGCTTTGATTTCGATTCTAATCCTTCGATTGTTCCGGAACAATATTACGTTCTATATCGACATAGTAATACATTGATACATATCAGTATACTAATTGATATATTCTAAACCATTACTCCTTAGGCTAAAAAGAAAGTTATTTTCATCTTTTAATGAAGGTATGCATCGATGCACTCTATAGTGTATCGATGCATTCCATAACGTGTGCATCGATGCACTACCTGTGCATCGATGCACAAATCACCTTCGATGTTTTAATCTTAAGGGGGTGCATCGATGCACTACTAGTGCATCGATAAACTTATGGCATTCGATGTTTTTATTTTAAAGGAGTGCATCGATACACTTCATGTGCATCGATAGACCTTGAACAATTTCTGGGATTTTACCCTTGATGCGTCGGTACACATTGAATGTGTACCGATTCACTCTGCCCAGAATTCACTTCTTGAACCCGAAAGCTCATCCATTTTAGCTCAAATCCTTCATGTTTCATCCCCTTTTATATTCTTAACTCCAGTACACATACTTAAACCAATCTATACTCATTTATTTCATCTTAAACCTCAAAATTCTATCCTCCTCATGAAATTCAAGAATTATACCAACTTTGCAATATGATTTAATTCCACTTCTAACACTTAGTATGTATTAACTAGATTGATGACAAGTCAAATTTAACTTCCAATTCTAGATATGAACTCTATTTTAGGATTTCATTCAAGAACATCTAATCTTTAATCTCTTCTAACTCCATCATCCTTTGATTTTAAGATAACTTAAGCTTTCATTAAGCTTAGTTATCATCTAATAATAAAAAACCAATCTTAAATTTAACAAGAAAATTAATAATCAGAAAACTCAACTTTGTTTTTCTTCACACGCACAAGGAAGAAAGAAGAAGAAGAAAACTCTGGAAGCCTTTGTGTTCTCCCCTCTTCAACCCACGTGGATTAATATATAACCCTTCTTTACTTATTTCCTTGTAAATGACCCCTTTACCCTTCCATTCTTTCTTCATTTCAATTCAATCGTATACAATAATTTACATATAAATCTTTATATTATTCAATCATTCTATTTTAATCACCAAATTCTGTGATTTTACAATTTAGTCACTAACCCGGTATTGAGGATGTTACAAATCTCCCCCTTAAGAAAATTCATCCTCGAATTTTCATTACGCAAAGAGATGGGGGTACTTATTCCTCACGTCATTTTCACGCTCCCATATTGCTTCATCTACTTTGTGATTCCTCCACAAGACTTTAACCAATGGAATAGTCTTGTTCCTTAGTTGTTTAACCTCATGAGCTAATATTTGAACAGGTTCTTCCTCATAAGTCAAATCTGGTTGAACCTCAATCTCTTCGGTAGTCACAATATGGAATGGATTAGATCGATATTTTCTAAGCATTGAGACATAAAAGACATTGTGTTTCTTTTCTAGTTCAGTTGGAAAAGCTAATTGATATGCTACTAGTCCTACTCTCTTAATAATCTCATAGGGTCCAATGAACCGAGGACTTATTTTTCCTTTACGCCCAAATTTCAAAACCTTCTTCCAAGGAGAAACTTTAAGAAACACTTTGTCTCCCACTTGATATTCTATCTCATTTCTCTTTAAATATGCATACGGTATTTGTCTATCAGCTGCTGCTTTGATGTTACTCTGAATCACTTGAACTTTTTTTTCATTTCCTGAATCAACTCGAGATCAATAACTTCTATATCATTAAGCTCAAACCAATTCAAGGGTGTACGACATCTTCTTCCATAAAGAGCTTCATATGGAGCCATTTTGATGTTTGACTGATAACTATTATTATACGCAAATTCAGCAAGTGACAAATACCTTTCCCACGATCCTTTGAATTCAATTACACAAGCTCTTAGCATATCCTCCAAAATTTGGATAGTTCTCTCGGATTATCCATCGGTCTGAGGATGAAATGTTGTACTAAAGTTCAACCCAGTTCCCAACGCTCTATGTAATGATTTCCAAAATCACGATGTGAATCTAGGATCCCGATCAGAAATTATGAAAACATGTATACCATGTAAACGTATAATTTCTCTAATATACAGTTCGACATATTTATCCATTGAGAAATCAGTTCGTACCGAGATAAAATGGGTTGACTTAGTCAATCTATCTACGATCACCCAGATTGAATCTCTTTTATTCGGAGTCAAAGGCAACCCTGTTACAAAATCCATTGTTACATTTTCCCTTTTCCACTGAGGAATAGACATTGGTTGCAATAATCCAGACGAAACCTAAATTTCAGCTTTAACTTACTGACACGATAAACATTTAGATATGAATTTCGTAATATCTTTCTTCATTCCAGGTCACCAATATCGACTCTTGAGATCCATGTACATTTTGTTTACTCTAGGATGCATGGTCAATGGGCTACAGTGAGCTTCCGTTAACAAGTCTTTCTTCAATTCATCGTTATCAGGAATCACTAGCCTCCCTTGATAATATAGGTTCCCATCAGTCTTCAATTCATAATCAGTGACCTCTCCATTTCTTATCTGTCGTAGCTTCTTTGAACACTTTTCATCTCTAGCTTACAATTATTTAATTCGATCTAGCCATGATGGCTGGAGAGTCATTTCTGCACATAACGCACCATCTCCACTTAACGATAATCTAGCATCTAGAGCTCGTAAGGCTGCAAATGTCTTTCGGCTTAAGGCATCTGCTACTACATTTGCTTTCCCCGGATGGAAATCGATTACAACATCGTAATCCTTGAGAAATTCCACCCATATTGTCTGTCGTAAATTCAACGCCTTCTGAGTCATCAAGTACTTTAAACTCTTGTGATCCGTATACAAGAAGCACTTTTCACCATACAAATAGTGACGCCAGA